TTTTCATGACTTCACCAATTCAAATCACCATTTCACAAATCTCAAGACAAGGAGAAAGACGGAGAAAACTACTCAGATCTCATGGGGAAAACAAAACAAAACTCGGAATTCATATATAAAAGCAAAGCCATACAAACTACAACAAGTAAATAAACTTATCTCTAATTTCTCCCCAAGCAAACTCCTCGAAGTTCCTTTGAATCTCTTCCTTTCTTTACAGCACACAGAATTCCTCTTCAAAGCGGCAAGGAAGAAAAAATCTCTCACTTTCCCTCCACTCTTACAATCTCTCGAAGAATTCCTCACAATTTTGACACTCTAGCAAATTATCTATACACTAATGGAACCTCTCTAACCTCCAGGACATTTCTAACATCCAGAACCTCCTCTATTTTCGGCCAAAAATTTCTTTTAAAGTTGTGGATGAGTTTTCTCAAGAATTGCCTAATAACCCCTTTAAAATTCGTCCTCATCCAATGCATTGTTGGACATAACTGCCGAGCTCGCCGTTGGCGGCCTCAAGGGCGTCGTTAGCGGGCCTTCTAAGTGAATTAAATCTGGAGTCTCGGAAAAGTCCGTCGTCGGCGCCCTAGTTCAAATCTTCACATTTTGGACCTTTTCGCTCCAAATTCGCTCCTTTTTTCATCTTTTTGCTCCAATGACCCTAATTCTTTATTCCTGCAACAAAACATCAAAAATACATTTCTTTAAAGTGCAATATCATAAAAAACAGTATAAAATAGGTATGAAAATCTCAACATATTTTCCTTTGGTCAGTAACCTCGTCATAGGAACTTGATTTCCACATAACTCAACTAAATTTTCACATTGTTGAAATTACTCACATGTCAAGCCAACGAACTACCATTCATCATTTCGTATTGAACAATCTCTTCATCAAAAGAACTTTATTTGAAATTGAGGACTTCTAATACATCCTTGTCAGTGCTGCCAATGGATCTAGCGTAATTTTCTCATTCAGAAAGTTGAATGCATCAGATGAGGAAAGCGAGAGACTGTATTGTTTGATCAAGCAGATTTCATTCTTCCGAGTCATTGATTCAAGTTTTTTGGTGATTCCCTCCGATGGTAAATACAGTTTCTTTTGATATATTTCATCTTCAATTTGTATTTTCCAGACCGCGAAGTCCATACCATTGAACTTCATCAACTTATAGCTTGCTTTGTCGGTCATTGCTCCCACTCGAATAAAATATATTAAAAAAAATCTCTCTAAAATCAATTCTTGTGATGAAACTAAGAAAATTGATTCGAGAGATTCAAAACAAAGTAAATATAGAAATTAATATTACACAGAAAATGTAAATAACACTAAGATTTAACTTGGAAAACCCGATAACGAAAAGCATGAAGTCACGCCACACCAAAAACTTCACTATGAAATGAGGATAAATTGCACAAATTACACCAGACTCAAGCCTCTCTACTATCTTGGAACTCACAAACGCTAGTCTTCTTCATCTTTTGCACAAGAAAATTCACACAAATCTAACACCACTTCGCCCGCACCTCCCACAACAAAGAAACATAAAATTAAAATCTCGAACTGCATAAATCTATGCAAGTGCCTGGGTACCACCCTTGAACTCCAAATTTCTAGATGTTCTATTTTGGAATGCTACATGAGGCTTCTGCCTGGGAATATTTTACTGGGAGCTGGGGTGCCTGCTTTGGTGTTGGGTTGTCCGTTGCCAAGCATAGGGGCGCTGCCTGGGCGCTTGGTTGGCCGTCGCACTGTTCGTAGGTGCTTCTCCTTGCCAATCACGCCCCACACAAAACAACTTGAACATGATAGCTATAAGAAAGTTATTTTCTTGCTTATTAAACTAAGAAAACATTTAAAATATTAAGAATAGCATTAAAAAAAAAACTTTACAACAATAGTTTTACAAACTCTTGCACAAAAAATTGTAGCGATCTTAAATGGATCCAATATCATAGAAAATCACTAAATAATATCAGGATTAAAGTCCTTATTGCGCCTAATGGTTGCCCTATGGAGCCTTGTTTTCTCAATCTCCCTCTCAAGGAAATCAAGAATTGTGTCAGTAACATGATTTGGCATGCACCCTGCAGCCAGCATCTTCCTCAAAAACTTGTGTGCTTCTTTGACTCTCCCAGCTTTAGAATTGACTTCAATGACTGTATTGAAAGTAACTACATCTGGGTTAATTCCAATCTCTATCATTTTCTTGAACAGCTTATTAGCCTCATCCACACTACCAGCCTTTCCTAGTGCGTGAATCATAGTATTATACAATACAATGTCAAGATAGCCCCCATTTTTTACAAACCAATCAAGAATGCTGGTAGCAAGATCACCCTTTCCCATCTTGCTCAAACCTTGTATTATCAAGTTAAAAGTGGCAATATCAGCTGGGCATTTCTTGTCCCTCATATCTTGCACTATGCCCCATGCATCTTTTAAATAACCCTTCTTAACAAATGAGCTCAATAAAGAGTTATATGTGTATCCCACAGGTTCAGTTCCCAAAGATCTGAATATTTCAAACAATTTGCAAGCCATGCTCAGCTTACCATTAGACAAAAAAATTGACAAGTAAGTGTTCATCATATCCATATCGAATGATTTGATTCCATTCACCTGAATCCTCTGTCCTCTACTTGGTATAAAGAATTTAGATCCATCAAATGTCTTGAAATTTTCAGCAAGTTTAACCAGGTAGGGAGAAGAAGACCATTCATCTTCATAAGAGCTACTAGAAACGGGCTCTGTAGAGCCATTTTCTGAAGCATGATCAATCAAACCTATTACATCGCTAAGACTACCAACACAAGGGAAGAGGGGAGTAAAATCCTTCTCCTTGTCCTGAGGAGCTCTAAGTGAAGTTTCCATGTTCTCTTTCCAGCTGAGAACACTAGGCAACAGAACGGTATCTCTCACGTGTTTCATTAACTTCTCTGCTGAATCCCATCTTCCATCCTTATGGAGTCCCATCAGAAGAGATGTTATTGTCACCAAATCAACAGAAAATCCTCTCTCCTCCATCTCCTTAACCAAGTCAAGAGCTTCAGATACCCGGCCCACCTTGCACAGACGAGAAATAACAATACTATAAGAAATGGCATCAACAAACTGTCCCCTCTTCTTCAATTCAGAGAAGAGTGCAAAAGCAGCAGCAGGACGGTCATTTTTAAAAAAACCATCGATCATTATGTTGAGAGAGTAGCGTGAAGCTCTGACCCCATCAGCAACCATTTTCTCAAACAGATGGCTGGCTTCAGTCCATTTCCTAACTTTCATGAGACCATCAAGCAAAGTATTGTAGGCCAAAGTATCAGCCTTTATGCCTATCTGCTCCATTTCAGTGAAAACCCGCAAGGCCTCATCAACACGATAGGATTTGCAGCAGCCCAAGATCAAATTTTGATAAGTAAAACGATCCGGTTCATGGCCGGACTCCTTCAACTCCTCATAAGCAGCCAACGCATCAACAACCTTACCTCCAGCACAAAGAGCGCCGACAACACTATTATAAGTGCAGAGGTCTGGTTCTAGTCCCTTCGATTTCATTTCTTTAAAAAGCTTCAAAGCAGATCCCAATTGCCTCCACTCGCCAAAACAATGGATGCAAATGTTGTAACCCCACGTGTCAAAGGGATAACCTCTCTTCGACAATTCGTCAAATACATTGCAGAAATCGTCCCGCATGTCGGTCTTGCGAAGCGCGACTAGGAGCTCATTACAGGCGCGCGGGTCGAGCTCGGCGGAGGAGGCCACAAGCTTCTGGAACATGGGAAGGGCGAGATCAAGCTGAGATTTTTTGAGAAGAGCGAGAATGATGGTACAGTATGTTCGTGGGGTGAGGACCTTCGCGGCGGTGGAAGCGTCGAGGAGGGTGACGGAGTCATCGAGGGCGGCAATGGCGAGGTCATAGTGTTCCGCTCGGATGAATGTCGAGAGGACAGAAGAAAAGGTGGTGGGATCGACGGCGGAGGAGGAGAGGGCAAAGCGAAGGAGAGTGGAGAGGTCGGAAAGGCGGCCAGCGCGGGAAAGAGAGAGGAGGAGCGCTGAGAGAGAGGAAGAGGAGGGGGAGAAGGAGGGGAGGGATGAGAGGAGGCGGAAAAGAGAGAGCTTGGTATCGGGGGAGAGGGAGGGGAGGCGGAAGAGGCGGAGAACGGCGGAGTCGGGGATGGGGGAAGGAAGGGAAGAGAAGTCGATGGTGCGGCGATCGCTAGAGATGGAATGCGAGGTGGGGAGAGATTGGTAAAGGGCGGCGGAAATGAGGAAGTCGGCGAGGGCGGAGGATGGGGCGGTGGCAGTTTGGGTGCTGAGCGGAGCGGATCGGGGAATGGAGTAGTATGAGAAGGATCGTGTTCCATGTAATATTTTTTCCATGACCAGAGACCGCCTAATTCATTGAAATCACACCATAAATCATTGAAATTTGATTGTGTCGTAATCTTATCAAATATTTTTATTATTTATATATGTGCGACAGTGTCTTAAGCAAAAATGTTCATAATATGCGTATAATATTTTTTGAATAATATTCAGCTCGAAGCACATTTCTGGGTACGCCAAAACCTTAATTGATCTCGTAGGCATTGCTGATGTGCTCATTCTTTGTCTTAGATTTTTATACTAGCATGATGCGAAAAGCTCAATGATATAGTTCATAGTTTAATCAGAGACTTAAAACCATAAATTATTTAAAGAAGATTTGCATACATACCACTTTCTTCTTATCTATTTACATATCCAACACAAACTATAATGTTTAGGTATATATCACCTTGTCTATGCATGAAAGACATGTTTTTTACCTTTTAAAGGTTAAAATACTAGAATTTATATGTGATATGAATGATTTGGGCGGTCTAAAGGTATGAAAATGAAATGAAAAATTACATGGACCACCCGAAGTATTGGTAGCTATAAATTAATCACCCAAGTGATTTTTATTTGAACTAACGAACTCATGTATTTACGCATGCATTGACAAAACGATCGAGAATTTGATAAACAAAAAATAGGTTGGGGTTTTCCCATGAACTTTGATATTTGATTTAGAATTTGAAAAATGAATGAAAGATGGTATTTGATATGCAAATAGCAAGATTCTGGTGCACTGTATGTAATTGCCCCAAAGTAAAATTTAAGTATTTGGTGATATGTACATAAATGCCTTTTTTTTTAATATTGACTAATAATATAGGCATATGATCAAAATTGTTTCTTTAGATATTTCATACATCTTCTATTAAGTTTGAGCAAAAGACCTGAGGCCAATTTAATACCAGCCAAAGTAGAATCATATAGAGATTGAAGAAATAAGTTAGAGCCATGTTTGATCAATAATATAAAAATATTCTAATATTGTTTGAACCATAATCAAATCTAATTTAAATAAAATTCAAACTACTAAAAATCCCATAATAATTAGTGCAAAACCTAATTTGAATATTAGTTGAAATTCATTCACTAGTTTAGAGCCTCTTTGAAATGTATATTTTGGTAGGTAGACCAGTCTTGAAGATATGGACACAATCTAGAAATTTGAGACACTGAATGGCTCTACAATTGCATAAGCATACTCTGTAGCCTCAATAATGCCTGCTATGGCAGCAAAATGGGAGATCCAGTCCGACAAAAGAATATCCTTAGATCTTCTCTTTAAGAAAGAAATTGCAGTCTTAGAAGGAAGTGTGACCTGTAGTATTAGTTTCATGCTGACAATTGCCTTGTGGTCCCATACTTTCAGCACAAGATCATAACCGGTCATCTTTAGAGTCTCAAAACCCATTCCAAATCTATTGGTTAGGTATGTTGGATCTAAAGCTAGATTGACATTGTTTCCAAAGGAGAATATTAACTTCCCAAATGACATCTTTTGTAATCAAATTGCAAGCATTAATTTTATCATCAATTTATATTCATGATTTATTTTAATTTTTATTTTTAAGACTCTTTATTAATTTTATGCAATGAGTTATAGAATGAATCCATAACTTTAACTAATATTGGATTAAAGAAATAATTTTAAAGATTATATTATAGAATGATAGGTTAGTTTTAGGTTTGGAAATTTTTCATTTTAAGTATAAAAATAAACTATGGGATGATGAAACTTTAGATTTGAGATTTGTTATGTAAATTTATTTGTTCATATATTTGTGGAGAAGAATCTATAGAAGTTAAAACATGGGTTTAAGAAAATAAATTTGTAATTATAAAATGTAATTTTGAATATAGTCGTGTGTAGTACTTTAAATAACACCCAATGACAGGTACCATGGGACACACCCCTTTGCAATCAATTAATTGAGAAGATCTTCCATGATAAATTTTCTGTATCACAAAAAGACCCTCTCTTGTTGGTTCAAACTTGTCGACCATTCTTTTATGAGCTGAATTTTATCTTATAATAACTAAAACTAAGTATCCCACTGAAAAAATTTTAAGGTGAACCAATTTATTATGAGCATGAACAGTCCTTGACTTAGTATAACTCAAGGTTTTTTTGAGTCAGTAGACATTTTTCTTCAAGATTTTCAAGTTCTTACATGCAAATTTGTGCATTCTATTCACACGATATTTGCTTTTAACTAGAATCCTTAGAAAGGGAAGCTCTACCTTTAAGGGGAAATTAACTTATGACCTGTACACTAAGGCGAAGGGTGTGGATTGATTTAGGGTCGTATAAGTGGTCTATAGGCTCACAAGGCTTTAAATAACTTCTCATTCCACTATCAGTTATACTCATTGAGTGTTTTCCTTATGATTTGGATAAGAATTTTGTTGAAAGCCTCAAATAATCATTTAAAGTCACCTTAGGGATTTGTTTGAGTAATTTCATAGTACACTGATATTATTGCTGAAGTTTAGGTTTTAAGAACTTTAAAGGTTCTTTCAACTTAAGTGAACAACTGTTAAAAATATCTAAATATCTTAATCTTTTTAATATGCACTAGAATAATGAATTCTAAAATGGTAAATAAAATTTCATAATCAACTTTGTTATTAGTACATGACTTCAGTGAATGGTCAGAGGATTGCATCATCCCATGATTAGGTGTTAATAATATTAACCTAATAGCTATCTTGCCCGAGAGAGTAAGATGTGGTTTGTTGCATCTTTGAGAAGACATTGTACCATTAAAATACATCTCCCAATAGTGATCAATTTGTTCCTCTAAATTCATGACTTACTTATCAAGAATTTCATCACTCAAAAGTGAGTCGACATGAAGCAGGTGTGCTGTTAGAAAGCCAACCAAAGTCTTATCTTTCATATGACATAAAGGAACCAACATTATATCAAATTGTAGTAAGAACCATGCATCTAAAGAGTAGTTGATTAATCATTAAATACTACAATGAATTAAATTGGGAGATTAAATTGAACGTTTGATAGACCTTATAATGTTTTAATTTTGGCACCATAAAAATTAAGGCCAAATAATGCTATTCAATTGTAAGAACATTAAAATAATGAAAATAAGATGATGAATTACGTAATATAATACATTCTCTTTTCCATCAACATTAACTTGATCTAATAAAGCACTAAGAGATTTTATTAACATCATATTTTAATGGATTAAAGGTCTTCCTGGGACAATGACTACCAATACTAGAGGTGTCATCAAATATTATCTTATATTTTTTAGTGTTATTTAATAATTGGTTTCCTAATAAAACATAATATTTTTCTTAGGTGGCCTTTTTCATTTTTTTCTCTTGATGACCAGGTCATTAACATAACACTATATCTAGTTATAGATGTATTTTTCCAAAAAATTTAGCAATGTCATGTTGATATGTAACACCAACATTCTTACGGCCCAATGATATGACCTTATAACAAAGAATTATGTCTCATTCTCAAACACTATTTTAGTTAATTAAAATTTGGATGACTAATCCATGAATGAGAAAACTTTATAGAAAGAGTCTACATTGACCATCAACTATGGTATAGGTAATGGGAACACATCTTTAAAAGACACCTCATTCAAATATCTAAAATTGAGACATATGTGAATTTATTCATTTTTTTTTAATTTAAACTATACTAGATAACAAATATAGGTATTTTCTTCTCAAATAAAACAATCTTTAATTATTTTTTAACCTAAACTATCACTTATTGATCAATTTCTAAATGCATATATCGAGAAACTTGCTTCACTAGAATTATATGAGCTTGTACTTCAAGTTTATGAACTTCTATCTAGGTATCTAATCCAGGCCTTTATCATAAGTCAAAGCAAAAAAATCCCTATATTCAGTTGCTCTAATCACACGATTGGCTTTATTTTCATTTAATAGTGAAACTTATGAATGTTTGTTGAAGGATTTTAAAAGTACCGAAATTTTATTTTTTGCTGATTTATTGTTATTTAAATTTTCTCCTCAAATTTTATGGACTTAAAGTTGATCTAGCTCATTCAAATTTTATAAATACATTGCATCAATTAACTTGACATATTATGACAGAATATCTATCAAGTTCAAGATGATTAGTGAAGATGAAATATATTCAATAGCTCGTCCTACTATGCAAAAACTAACACTAAATTTTGATATAATATATATGCTATCCCAAATATTTTCAAAATTGTAAGATTCACACTTGGACCAAAATTATGGTGTTAAATGTTGTTTTGTTAAATTATGAACACATTGAGAATAGCGGCCTAAAAAAAGTTTCATTAATTTATTTCAAATTTCATCCTCTAATTTTACGTTAGTTTCATAAAGTACGAATGACTAACCATGATAAATTTTTTTAGATTTTTAATCTTAATTTGATGCAACCTTAACTTTCAACCTTGCAACAATGTCAGAATGCTGAGGGATTTAATTTAAGATGTGTACATATTTATAATTTTCTCATACAATGTTGACTGAAATTTGATTGTACCATTTTTAAGGCCCTTGTCTTCATCAATATCTACTGCCCAAGGCACTTTCAATGTGGCTTTTAAATTTGTTTGATTGAGAAAACCACGACTGACATATGACTCGTTCTCTAAAATTTATTGCAACTCAATATGTATAACTATGGTTTATTTAGTGTAAGTCAAGAGCTTTCTCTTGTGTACAACTAGCTTCTTCTTCGGTATCTTCCTCAAGCTTGTATAGCCATTATGCCTCCTCACCATGCAAGAGAGGTGTAAGTTTCATCTTCATCATTTTATATTTATTGGTCATTTTTTTATTCTATATCTTTAATCATTATTATTTATTCCATTTAGTGGTTATTCTTTACTAGTACTTTTATAGAGAAGATAGTCTAGTATTTTGGGAGTGGAAAATTTCTTAATTGCATATTCATGGATCCTAACTTTATTGAACAACAATGGTTGTAAATGTCCATTCATATAGTACACAATGCC